ATGTGTGCCTTACATCTGTATTACTGGCTTATTCTGGGAATTGAAGTCTTATTTCATTTCTAAGAGAATGACGGTTCTGCTACCAGTGACCTTTAAGGGTTAGATCATTAGGGCTTTTTGTTTGTTTGTTTGAGACTAAATAAATAAAGAAAACACATGTTCAGATACAAAACACTAGAAATATATTCATTTTCACTGGAGCGACACCAAAGGCCATCAGCATTAAAAATGAACTCCTAAGTTCTTTGCCATTCCCCAGGTGTAAATTTAATGTACAAAACATGCATCTCTTGAAACTCTTTCTTTGCTAGTAAGAATAATTCTCCTAAAATACTCACCTGTCAAAAAAAAAAGGTAACATTATTGATTTTCAGAATTCTTATTTCTGTCATGTCAATAAGCAATACCAGAAAGAAAATCAAACAGCCAGGAGAATTGGCATGATGGTGAAGGTTGAGCTTACAAGTACAGTGGACTCAAGTATCCATGATCCAGCATACTGAGCAATAAATCCAAACGAGCAGTGACTACAGGAAAACAATATGCAGGGAGGCCTCGCTGGGAAAAGTTAAACTTTTATGTATGGGAATAGTCTATGGAGGATTACAGGGATGTTTTCTTGGAAGGATAAGGTCTGGAGTGTGCAGTACTGGGTGAAGCCCTTATCTAACAGGCAAGAGAAAGGTCTTCCCAGGTTAGGCATGTGTGACTCTACCTCCAACACAGAATTTTTTTTTAAGAAAGCAATGGAAATTTGAAAATGATAGTCTTGTCTTTAGTCGTCTCAATTTTAATAACCAGTATTGTGTTATCTACCTTTTCATGGATGCAGCCAGTGTGCCTAGAAGAGCCAGGCTTTATTCTGTATTTGCAACAAAAGTTTTCCCAGCAACTGATGGGAAGATACCTGATGGGAAAGCAGAAGCAGGTGGTATTGTAAATCAGGATGAATGCTAAGATTTTAGGACTTACTTTTGATAGGAAGAAATGGATATATCAATTTTCCTTTTAATGAGTGAGATTTTTGAGGCACTTTGTGGGACTTCTGGTTCAAGACTGTGGCCCGTGTGGTGTTGTAGGAGGGGCACTGATGGAGAGCTATCCCGGTGCATTATTTCTGAGCCACCTCTGTGTACTTTACTTCCTCATTTGTAACATGGGACTAATGTGCCCTGCTGAGTCCTCACAGTTGCTGCAGCAATCAAATGAGCTATTAAGGGATAAGCTCTTTTCCAGCTACCTATGAGAATGCGTGTGATATGGTCCCAGAATTTGCTCTCTAGAATCACAGAAATCTCCTAACCCTCACAAGAACTCTTTAAAGTTGTTATCCCCATTATATAGATGAGGGAACTGAGACTTAGACAAAAAGCTGTCCAGGATCACATACTATTAAGGAACAGAGCTGGGATGAATATTTGAGTCTAATTCCAAAACATTCTGGAATAACTCAATATGTGGTTTTCCATTTCTCCCAAAAACAGTTACCTGCTTTTTTCAGTGGCTTGTGTTCCAGCTGACAGCTCCAGGCCCTGTTTGAATAATTTGAAGGCAATCCTTAGGGAAGCAAGCTTTAATTATCACTGGGGAACAGAAGGCCGCATCTTTGAGGAATTTGGCAGACCTCAGCAGGGGGCAACCACAGGCCTTTGGCAAAAGATCACTTTTCAACAACATTGTCAATTCCAGTGACCCCCGACCTTCCACCTGCGGGTCCTTGAACAGCTGCTGTTCTGTGGGAAGCAGTGGCAGTCTGTCTTCCTTTAAAAGGCACGTGTATACTCTGTCCCTGCTGCCTGCTGAGATCCCACCTGGGACCTCATTCCCAGAGCTGGGGGTCATCTCCCATATCGAGAAATTAAGAAAAATAAGGGGGGCGGGCAGGGGAGGACAGCTTTGACATCAGTCCCTAAACTTTCCCTTTTAATATAAGCCAGATTTAACATATGTCATTCTGTAAATCCGGGAGTCCAATTTGAGGCTTGTAATTTGCTGCAAGCTTCCCTGTTCCTCCAAGTGGGGTGGAGCTATGCCAAGCACACCAAGGTAACTGCTGGAAGATATAATTTGCCCACTGTGGGCCTGCGTTTCAGTTCCCTATTGTAATTTTTATTTGTGTTGAGGTTTTGTGGTTTTAAAAAAGTCAACTAGATTTATTTTTAAATTAACCCAACCCAACATCAAAGGCAATAAGTAGAGGATGTTTAGGTATTATAAAGAAACCCTGTGTAATCTGTCATAGCTGTATTCTTTTTCAGGGCACGTATCAGTAAATGGTTAGGGGCCTTTCACGACCAACTTTCTATATTTCTCTGACCTCGAACTACCCCCATGGGTGAAAAACCCTTTTTGAGGGAATTTAGAAGCCCCTGTCTCCTCCTCCTCAACCTCTTAATCTAATCCTGTTTGTAACGCAACATGCTGCATGAAGAATAAGAGACATGGGCTTAAGTCCCTCCCCACTTCCCTTATGACTGTGGTTTACTTTTGGATATGAAGAACTCTTTCAGGCCAAAGAAAAAAAATGGGACCGTTTGGTTCATGAATCATTTACTTTGGTAGGCAGGAGAAAGTTTATATTGAAAGTTTATCTTAAGAATGACAGGTCATACCTGAAGAGTTTGTTTTGGAATACTATGGATTTTTTCCAACCCAGATAATTACATGGGAGTTGCTTGTTTATTGGCTCATGGAGGAAATTCATGTGCCTCTGTTCTAGGCATTTTAAGTGCTATGTATATATGCTGGTTGTTCCTCAAAACAGCTTTGGGTTTGTTTTTTGTTTTTTGTTGGTGGTGGTGGTGGTTTTTTGAGATAGAGTCTCCCTCTGTTACCCAGGCTGGAGTGTAATGGTGCGATCTTGGCTCACTGCACCCTCCACCTCTCCGGTTCAAGAGATTCTCCTGCCTCAACCTCCTGAGTAGCTGGGATTACAGGCGCCTGCCACCATGCCCGGCTAATTTTTGTATTTTTAGTAGAGACGGGGTTTAGCCATGTTGGCCAGGCTAATCTTGAACTCCTGACCTCAGGTGATTCACCCGCCTGGGCCTTCCAAAATGCCGGGATTACAGGCATGAGCCACCACGCCTGGCCCAAAACAGCTGTTTAAGAAAAGTGCTATTAACCTGTTTACAGATGAGCACATTTGAACCACACCCTCTTTTTCACTCTAAATCTTGTCTCTTTCTTTAAACATGAGTTACTTACACTTCTGAGCATAACTGAGACACTTTTAGAGACAGTGTCTTCTGAGCTCAATGTTATATTATTTGTGTTGCTGTGCTTCTACTGGGTAACCAGCACCCATCCTGGTCACCAGAGTAACTTTGTCAACCAAGAAGGCCAGGGATCCCAAACCAGCATTTTCTACTATCAAAAGAGAGATTCTGCAAATCCACCGGCAGAAGAACATGTATAATAGCAGGTGGCATTTATATGACCCAGTGTGCAAGGCAGTGTCCCAGTGTATCACCATGAATCTCAGAAACTCCAGGCTTTCCCTGTGGGAAACCCACACCACCACAGAACCAGGGGAGGGTTCGGTCCAGACTCCTGAAATCAATAAGCTCCCAGTGACTGATTCTTTCCCTAGTTTTATAATACAAATAATGGCATAGGATCACATTCAGCTGTCATTATCCACAACATTTCACTGATGGGATCCTCCTCAGACAGAGACTGGGAATCAGATTTCTCGGTCACATAAACTGTTGCTCATTCTGTGAGGCTGCCTATTTGTAAAGCTGTGGTTCATATTAAAAGCAATCTCAGATGTAGGAAGCACCCCTCACTTCCCTTCTCATTCATTTTGTTAAAGCAAATGGGCTTTGGAATTCAGTTCTGTTTCTACCACTTACTAATGTTGTTAATTTAGAGGAGTTCCTTAACTTTGCCAAGCCTTGATTTTCTCAGCTGTAGAAGGGGAATAATAAACCTATTTTACAGAACAGCCGAGACAATTAGGTGAGTTAATGTATATAAAATGGTTTGCACGATACCCAACAAATGTTAAACTCTCACTCAGTTTTTAATATTAACCTCTATGTGCTTAATAACATTGAAGAAGAAGATTCAAATGGATTATAGTCGGTTAAAGAGTTCAAATATAAACAGATAATTCTCTGGATGAGAATTGCCGTAGCATAGATATGTTGTGTACCCATGCCAGAGCATGAGATGGCAGCATCTAATGGTAGAGGGAGTTGGGTGAGACATCAAGAGAAGGTGACATGTTTTTTTCAGTACCCTGAAAAGACATGGGATACCACGTGGATCTCTGCGGTAGATTAAATATAGACTCAAACTAACCTATTCTGGAACAATAGGACCATTTCCTTGTGGCTTACAGAAATTATTCCCTGCACCTATATTGATTTGTTTATTAAATGAATAGCTTTATTGGTAAACATGTATATTGCAGAAGTAGACTTGGTTATCATTCCCACAAGTCCAATTAAAGTAATGGTATCTATATACAAAACTCATAAAGACTAGATAAGTAAGTAATCAATAAAATACTCTTCTCAAGTATTCAAGAGAAAAAATGTGTTGAAATGATGATTCATCATTCCACATAACATATTTGTGACTACATTTAATAGCCTCATTAGCAATAAAATTTTTATGAGTTAACATCACATAAGAATATTCCCTTGTACCTTACTGAGATTTTATCTGCAGATTTGTAACATAACCATCATCATCTTGATATGTTTCTTACACATTTTATTCAGTGAACCCAAATGAACTTCTAATTACACATTCAGCTGACAGTCATGGTTTTATATGTTTGAATATATACACCTTCAGAGGATATTTGCTGTTTGGGGTGGTGAAGACTTCATCTTCTTATACATGCAAACAGAAGATAGTTGGAAGAGGAATATGTTTTAGCAGTGTCTCAATTATCTCTCCATAATGATTATTTCACAACCTCGAGATATACTCCTGAAAGACTAAGTAAGAAATATATAGTAAGATTCCTTTCTGGATATTTGCAGAACTCCTAGTTATAACTATGCACCAAATATGGATAAACACTGGATTATGCAGTATACAGGACCAATGCTTCCCATCCACATGGAATTTACAAACATTCTACAGCGCAAAAGGCTCCAGACTTTGATGTCAGTGGATGATTCTGTGGAGAGGGTAAGCACATGAACTGACCTCGGTGATAGTTTTTGGCCCAGCTTCCTTGGTGTAGACTCATTCTTGCCAATCCTGTTTGGTTTTTTCCCCTTCATTTTCCAGCATCACGTTGAGAGAGAAAGAAAGAGAGAGAGTATGTATTTAGTGGCTTAATCATCCCTCCCCTATCTTGTCCTCATTCCATCTACCTCTCCAGAGTTGGTTTCTTATGCAGCCAGTAAAAAATAGGAGAGAAAAATCAAATCAGCATAGATCAAGGGCCACATCCTCAAAGACAATGAAGAATGATGGAGCTTGTGGTGAACTTGAACTTGGAGTTAAGGGCCCCATCTAAAGCAACAGCAATTACTCAGCTCCAGCTAAATTTTTGCCATGTCGAAATGTGGATCAAGTATCAGCAGGTCTTCTGACTTTTTAAAGAAGCCAGAAACACAAAAAGTTTTATTTGAAATTTTCTGAACTTTGAAACATAGTATAAGCCAAACAAGATGTGCCTCAGGCTGGATTTAACTGGATCAGGCTCGGAAGCAGCCTGTTTTTAACCCTCGGTAATTAGATATGTGATGATAACTTTAACAATGGGTTTTCAAAATACAGCCTATAAAGTTTGATGGTAGAAGTTGTTGTGTGGGGTGTTTTTGTTTTTGTTTTACCAAACAAGCAAACAAAAAGCCTGTAAGTAGAATGTGCTAGATTCTAAAAAGTTACGTTTCAACTTTACCATGGACCTTTTCCCTCCCAGATTGTAAGCAAAGAGAAAATATACATAATGTTATTAAAGCAACTCTTGCCTTTTAAAAATAACAGGAAAAAGATTTGGGGGTAATTGTGGCAACATTATTGAGCATCATCTTACACCAGCACAATTGATTCTGACTTGTTCCTGTGCTGTATTTCAGCTGTATAACATGCTCGTGGAGACGGGGGAGCTGGAGAACACTTACATCATTTACACCGCCGACCATGGTTACCACATTGGACAGTTTGGACTGGTCAAGGGGAAATCCATGCCATATGACTTTGATATTCGTGTGCCTTTTTTTATTCGTGGTCCAAGTGTAGAACCAGGATCAATGTACGTATTTCTCTGTTTGCAACATTCAACTGTCGTACCTCATGTGTGTCTAAGATAATTCAATTACCAGTCTCAGTATCCGGTTTCCTTTCATCCCAAACAAAAAAGGATGTGTGTAGGTTGGTTAATTTGGAAGATGAAAACCTTTTCCCCCCTGCCACATCTTAAATTAGCTGAAGTATACTACTTAAAGAGAAAGGAAAAATAACTGTATCAATGACTAATTCTCTCAAATTGACTGGAATCCATATCTTTCTGGTCTGTGTGCACAGACAGGATGTGATCTTCTGGGACATCATCCTTCTTTGAATCAGAGATGCGCTGTCATTAAAAAATAAATAAATAAATAAAAACCGATGCCATCCTTTTAGTGTTTAAGTTTTAAAATTTTTTCCGAAAGAAATGTTTTTAAAAGATAAATTTTTAAACGCTGGCTTTTCTTTTAAAGGAAAAAGAGCTGAAGGACTAGGCTGCTATTTCTGTCACTGTAGACAGGTCACTGCATCTCTTTGCATCTCTGTTTTCCCATCATAAAATGGCCTTGCCAATCATCTCAGAATGTTTTGAATAAAATGATATTGCATCCATGAAAGAATTATGGGAAGACTAAAAGAAAAAGTAGAAGTAGAATCCAGAAGCTGGCGTGGCCCTTAAAAGTCATCTAGCCTGGACCCCTGATGTAACAGTGAAGCTAGGCAGTCAGTGGCAGTGCCCATCTCAGATCCCTGATTCTGGAAGTGCTGGCAGTGGGGCCCAGAGCCCAGATGTTCTGAATCTCCCCCATGTACCTCATGTGCTGCCACATCCCACTACGTCCTGGAGAGAGGGCAACTGAAGTTAAGAAGGGTTTCTTTGAAGAATGTTATTATGCCTCCTAAGATTATTAGAAATACCCTGAGAATTGTCAGACCTATATCTAGAAGGCTTTATGTTTTAAGGACTAGGTAGCATAGATTGAATTCAACTGTAAAAACTGTACATCCTATTTAAAAATATTGATCTTAAGGCCCTTGTTCAACTGGAGAGTTATGGACTATTGGATTTTAAACAAAAGTATGCTTGCTGCAAAAACCATGTATCAGGCTGCATCTTGCCTGGTGATGTGGTCAGAGCACAGGGGTGCAGGCATCTCTCCAGCCTGACCTGGCAAGAGTCAGTTAATCTTGCTCAGTGTCATTGCTGTGATCAAACACCCACCCTTGCCATGCAACCACCCATGCCTAGGAGACCAGATGAGAGGGTGAGAAGAGTTGAAGGCCAATGAGTCACTGTTGTAGAAAAAGCAGCCCTAAGTACCACCTTCCCCTGGCATTGGATCTCAGCCATCACCGTGTGCCCCTTTACAGAGTCCCACAGATTGTTCTCAACATTGACTTGGCCCCCACAATCCTGGATATCGCTGGGCTCGACACACCTCCTGATGTGGACGGCAAGTCTGTCCTCAAACTTCTGGACCCAGAAAAGCCAGGTAACAGGTGCGTCACTGTTCCTCCTCTCAGCCAGCCCCAAACACACTGAGCTCCAGCTGGTGCCCAGAGCCAGCCAGCAGCTGAAGACATGGAGGCAGAATATACCTTGCCCACAAGGATCACCCCAAGTTGAGCATTCCTCAGCTGCTTGTGAATAGCATATTGATGGAGATGCAGTCGTGGTCTGTGGGAAGTGAGAGGTGTTTCTTTAAATAAGCTGTTAGCACAGATCCATTTGGAAAAATGTCCAGATGCCAACAGTAAATATTACCATTTTGCTTTCAGGTTTCGAACAAACAAGAAGGCCAAAATTTGGCGTGATACATTCCTAGTGGAAAGAGGGTAATTATTGGTTCCTGGGGTGCTTCTGGGAACCAGTCCTAGTGGGCAGCTCTCCCTGCTGGGTATTTTTTTTTTCTCCTTATTTTTGTTTACTAAGCATGCAGATTTTGTAAGCCTAGTCACAAGATTGAATGATTTGCTGCTTATTCTGTGGTGGCCAATAGAGTAATTATTGCTGGATCAGAATTGTAAAGAATAACCCTCAAGTTGGTTAATTGGGACAAAAATACAGTTAGATAGAAGTTATAGTATTTGATAGTATAGTTGGGACATTATCATTAACAATAATTTACGGTATATTTTGAAATAACTACAAGTAAAGAATTGTAATATTCCCAACACAAGGAAAAGATAAATGAGATGATGAATATCTCAATTATCTTGATTTGATCATTACCCGTTGTAGACTGATATCAATATATCACACATACCCCCAAAATATGTATAATTATGATATATCAACTTTTAAAATACCAAAACAGCAAGAGAATGATGAGTCCACATCCCCCAAAAAGAATAAATTCTCATAAGATTGGACCAACGCCTTTATCATGGGTGTAGATTTACTGTTGCATTTCTCAGTGCTGGTTTCTAATCAGTCCAGTAGATTGAGTTTCTCTACCATCCTCCCCACGTTCTTCTCTAAGCTGCCTCCAAGGCTTACCCAGCACCTTTCTTTCTACTTCCTACTTCTTTTCCTTATGTGCCTTTCCTAGTTTTAAATAGATAAATGTATGCCATTGTAATTATTTCCATCGTCACTTCTGGGTTTCTCCCTTTTGATTCATTAATGCCCATTGCCTTGTTTTTCTCTGTACATAAATAAGGAGAGAGAAAACATTTATATAATTTTTTTAACAAAAGGAACTTTGAACATGTAAAATGAAACATGTATGCCCAAATTTTGAAATTAACGCTTTTGGGAAGAATGAACCTTTTCCTGACCTGTCATCTTCATCCTGCCCAGCTTGTCATTTTCATAAAGGACCCATCACTATGTTGAACTCCTGTAGACAGAGATTAACATCTGTTTCTTGCTGTTTAAAGAATGTGGAGTCATGTGACAGAGAGAAAAAAAAAAGGGCAGGACTCAGGGACCGTAATTCAGATCACTTCTCACGTACGAAGCTTTTCCCTTTTTGTCGAAGCAAATTTCTACGTAAGAAGGAAGAATCCAGCAAGAATATCCAACAGTCAAATCACTTGCCCAAGTACGAGCGGGTCAAAGAACTGTGCCAGCAGGCCAGGTACCAGACAGCCTGTGAACAACCAGGGCAGGTGAGTGACACGGGCTTTTTTTACCACCACTCATGGGCTTCTCCATCTCTAATTTAGAAAGTTGTCCACATACGAAAGAATGTACATTAGTGTATAAATAAGCTTTTCCTAGTGGTCTCGAGGGCAAGCTCACTGAGACACCTCTCCACAGACAGAATTACGTAACTGGTTCAGGCTGGGCCTCCCCATTACTACTTGGGCTCCCTCCAGTTAAAAAAGATGATTATCTCAGATAAAGTTCTATGCCAAAAGACACTGGTTTCCTCTGAGGAAATGATTCCTGTTATAGTCCCTGTTAACTAGTCACTGAGGAGTTGCCAAGAGGCTACTTAGTCAAAGCACAGGTACGTGCTGAGCCTCTGGGCAGTGACCCACTGCAAGAGACACGATGGGGCCTTCACCCTAGGCCAAAGTCAGATGTCCTCTTACCCGCAGTGGAGGACAGAGCCTGTGACCAAGCTTGAGGAATGAGACGAGAAACTATATTCTGTTTGTTTATTGTTCCTACTTCTGCTCACAAAGATTCTCGCATCAAATATTTCATTAGAATAAATCTTCATTAGTAGAAATATTACTATAGACCCCAGGGCTACCCAGAATACCAGTTATTATCAGTAAGAATAAAAGAAATACGGTGTGATGAATTAAAATTACTTTTAAAGAAAGCGAGTACATATGAATTTAAACCAGTTTAAAACCAGTGATTTTAAATGCTCTTAATTGAAATGTATGCTAGCTAAAAGAAAATGCTGTGTCATGATGAGAGGAACTGAACTTTGGCCCAAATCATTGCAGCTTAGAGCAAAATCAGAGGAAAGCGTAAAATACTAACACGTAGTGAGCATTTGTCTTATCTCAGGCATGGTATGCAGGATTTTGTAGCATTTACTCAATTTAATCCTCACATCTGTAGAGTGAGGTGGGCATTGGCATCCCCATTTTACACATGGGTGACTGGGATTCAAACAGGATTTGTCTGATTCAAAAACTCAGTCCACTTGCTGCCTTCCAAGGTAGGTTACAATAACCAGGTGAAGAGAAGTTCAAATCTACTGTGAGTCTTTTTTTAACTTAACTGACCTGTAGACTTCCATACAATTCACCAACACCAGTTCAAGATGTCAGGCTCATGGAATGAGTAGGTAACGAAGTTATTATTAAAGTGGCCTCACTCATTATACGCTTATTTTATGGTATCTAGCTTGTTGAATAGACATTCATAATAAACAACTTGATCCTTATACCCTGCATTTCCTCAGGCTTTCTTGTACACAGGATCCTTTTGAAATAGAAGAGGAAAGGGAGGGAGAGCCGTTGAAGGAAGGGCTAAAACTAAGCCTTCACTGCATTCTAGTACGTCTTAATTTTCAAGTGTTTAGTGGAGAAAAGCTTAGACCTATTCATTATATTTTAATTTGAAGTCTTCAAATCTTTCTTATGAAAGCTCCAAACGTTATTATGAGTAAAACCTCAGAATTATTTTGTAGCACTAAGATGATTTTTATGAGCCAGCCTCAATAGACTAATTTACTTTTATTCAGGAGTTGCAAATGTTCAGTGTTAAATACATTTCATGCAAATTGGTGATCTTGTTACTCTTTTAGCTCTAAGAGGTGAACATTATAGTCTTTTGGGAATAAGGTACACTGCCTACCTTTCAGTGTATAATTTTACAAACCTCTCCATATGGCTTGCCCTAAAATTTTAATATATATCCTAAAGGGCAAATGTAGCATAAACTAGATTATGGTGCTTTGGCACAAGATTTTCACTCATGAGCTGAATGCTAACTATATTAAAAACTTAATTTTGCTTTTTCATATTTTTCTGAACTTGTTTTGGCCCCATAAAATGCTTTCATATCTGGAATTTTCCTGCACTGTTTCATTTCTCTGTGAATCAGTCTGAATTTAGATCCATTATGTGGATATATGAGAACGTCAGCAATGGTCTCTCTTAGAAAGGCCTGAATTTGTGGAACAAAGAATTAGGCTATGCCCCAGTGGTGATTTATTTCTTAGAATTTCTTTACATTGGGCCTGAGTGAGCTTTAGAAGTGAAGACCTGGAGAGTATTTCTGATTTTCTCTAGCTTCAGTATATCACAGCACTAGTGAACTGTTACTCTAATCCCGAACCAGTAGGATCAGCATCCCTGAGAGTTTGTCAGAAGTGCAAATTCTCTGGCTGTTGCAGACCTTCTGAATCAGAACCTCTGGGGGTGAAGCCCAGCAATCTGTGTGTTAACAAGTCCTCCAGGTGACTCTGATGCTCCCTGAAAGTTTGACAAGCACTATTCTAACCCACGATTGTGATTACTGGTGGTCCTCAAACCATCACTTAGGAATCTAAGAACTTTAGGAAAATTTTGAGCCTGAATCTTTAAAGCAGTTATTCAATCTATGGGTCAAACCTGATAGCTATGTTGTATGTTGTTGTTTTGTTTTGTTTGAGACAGCATTTTACTGTCACCCAGGCTGGAGTGCAGTGGCGTGATCATGGCTTACTGCAGCCTCACCCTCCTGGGCTCAGGTGATTCTCCTACCTCAGCCTCCTGAGTAGCTAGGACTGCAGGCAAACACTACCATATTCAACTAATTTTTGTGCTTTTTTAGAGATGGAGTTTTGCCATGTTGCCCAGGCTGGTCTGGAACTCCTGGACTCAAGCGATCCTCCCACCTTGACCTCCTAAAGTGCTGGGATTACAGGAGTGAGCCTCCATGCCCAGCCAGCTCTGTTGTGTTCTATCGACTTTTTATATCTCGGCCTTTTGCTCTTTCTTTCTGGCTACTTTGAAGATTATCTTTTTTTGGTGACAGTATCACTGGCTTTAAAAAATGGAAGAAGAAAATTCAGAATAATGATGCTGAATTGTTCAGGTTCAAGGTGGCAGCAGAGGCTAGAACTGACCTGCTTGGAATCTGCTCTCTCTTGATGTCCCTCCTGGCATGCACCCTGCTTCTGTTCCTATTAACAAGTTGAATGGCCTTCATTCCAAGGCAACACAGTCTTAGGTTTTGACACTCCATGGGGTACAAAGGGAAAATCAGCATGACTAGCCCCATTCTCTTCACTCTTAATCCCAGAGATAGTGAATGCCCCCTTCCTCCCACAGCTTTGTGCCAGGTCACCTAAAGGTTATTTGGTGGCGTCAATGCGGGTGCATGAGGTAAGTCAACAGAGGAAAGAGATCCAAAGGTTGGGGTTAGAATATTGGCCGCCACCACTTTCTAGTTGTGTCTTCTCAAACAGTTCACTTACTTTCTCCTGAATCTCAGGTTTTCTGTCTCTAAAATGGAGAAAATTAACCTCACCCTTATGAGGATTAAGTGATATTATACTATGTGAGACTGAGATTAATTTTCTCTAGTGTGTGAGTATTGGGTGTTGTTATTATTCCAAGCCATCTTACCTGCTATTTTCATTCCTATGAAACCAATAAGAATTAAAATGGGCTGAGGCCGGGCGTGGTGGCTCATGTCTATAATCCCAACATTTTGGGAGCCCGAGGCGGGCAGATCACCTGAAGTCAGGAGTTCAAGACCAGCCTGGCCAACATAGTGAAACCCCATCTCTACTAAAAATACAAAATTAACCAGGTGTGGGTGGTGGGGCGCCTGTAATTCCAGCTACCTGGGAGGCTGAGGCAGGGGAATCACTTGAACCTGGGAGGCAGAGGTTGCAGTGAGTCGAGATTGTGCCATTGCATTCCAGCCTGGGCAAAAAGGGCGAAACTGCATCTCAAAATAAATAAATTAATTAATTAATTAAAAAGAATAAAAATGGGCTGGAATCCCAGAGACTTGGCATCACTTCTTGACTATGTGAACACAACAACCAGCGGGGACTAATTAAGACAACATGGACATATGTGTTTCCATTACTCCCACGTTCCCGAATTAATATGAGATAGAGTGTGAATTCCCTCCACTCTCTCAGCTGGGCATTACACCCCCAGGCATGTTTATGTACAGACACTTCCCATCCCCCTACACAATCACACTCATACACATGTGCACACTCATAGGCAAATCTCAACCTCTGTCTTAAAGCATGTTTGTTCCACAGAGAACAAAGAGCAGTGATGCCCAATGCTGGTGGCACATTAAACTCACCTGGGGCTGGGCACTGCAGCTCATGGCTTACTCTCGTAATCCCAGCACTTTGGGAGGCAGGCGTTCTAAACCCCCTGAGTCCAGAAGTTCTAGACCAGGCTAGGCAACCTACGGAGACACTGTCTCCACACACAAACAAAATAGCCAGGCATGGTGGTGTGTGTCTGCAGTACCAGCTACTCAGGAGGCTGAGGTGGGAGAATTGCTTGAGCCTGGGAAGTCGAGGCTGCAGTGAGCCATGATCATGCCACTGCACCCCAGCCTGGGCGACTGAGTGAGACCCTGTCTTAGAAAAACAAAAAATAAAATAACAGAAAAATAAAAAATAAACTCACCTGGGTGGCACTTGAAAAATGCTGCCACACACCCCAGACCAACCAGGTTGAAAATGTCTGCAAGTGAGGCCAAGGAATCTAGTTTTTAATGAGGTTAAGAATCACAGGCCTAGAACCAGGAAATATCAAAGTTTGAAGGAATCTTAGAAATCTTCCAAGTTGAATGGTATCATTTTTCTGATAAGGAAATTTAGGTCCGGAAAAGTTAAGCTACAAACCCAAAGCCAAAACCTGCATCTCTTCACTTCGCGTTGAGTACTTTCTTCCCTGTAACATGCTGCCACTGCAAAATTGCGAGACAGATTTTCCCTTTGAAACTATGAATGGCAGTTGCCACTCACGTTGGTTCTCAACCCAGACTGCACATTAGAATCGTATGGGCAGCTTTAGAAATGCTTATGTTTAAGTCCCAGCCCAGACAAGTTAAATCAGAACCTCTGGGTACGAGACCCAGGTGTCAGTGTTTTTTCCAAACTCCCCTGATGATTCTATGTGCAGACAAGCTTGAGATCCACAAATGTCAAGTGAGCATTATTGGGCTGTTTTTTCTT